TTGTTTCCCATTTGATTCTCCTGTTGCTTCTGCCGCCGGATCTACGTATGGTGCTCCGTTTCTTACAGCGCAGCGTGCCAACAATAAGGTGGTGATCGGTTGATAACTCCCCGCCTGTTTTAGCGCGAACATCCATTACTGAACGTCTTGAGTCATACTATGCGATTGTCAAATCAGTCATCGACTTCTTTGCACATACTTCTCGGTACCAGGTGTACTGGCGCATTCTTAAATGCTCGAAGGTGTTCATAATGGTCAACCCGTTGTTTGCACAGAACCGCAGCAATTTAATTCTCGGGCCGTTTTTTCCAGTCACGCTGTTCTATTTTTCAGCGTCTACTCTGACAAGCGCATTAAAATCGCTCATGAGTATGAGGGACTGGGCACTTCCTCAAGGAAGGTCTCATATTCTCCCTCCATATTGGATGCATAGACCTGTACCAAGGTCAACGCTTCAGCTTGTTGTAGTTTCAGTCAGAGGATTACCACGCTTCCACTGTCAGGCTTCCAGTCAGTGATTGTATTTGCGAGGTTGGGTTCTACCAGAACACCAATGCCGGCTTCAACGCGCGTCGTGATATCGACACCTGAGTATAATAGCTTCCTCCCGCAGAGGTTCAGAGTTCCAGAGCCTTGGCACTTCGTTGACGAGAGTCCAGCGGTGTCGGGTGGGTACTTTATGGCCTCATCAACTGAGTCTTGTTCTTTGCCTCTGAGTGTTGCATTTCCGACTATAAGCTCCCACTAGCGGTTTACCTTTGTCTGGCGGGCTGTAATGGCATCACGCTGTCTATCTCCTCCGTTCAGAACGGGTAGCGACTCCGTTGCTGACTGGTATCTTCGTCGTCGTTCCGTCGGACTTCGTCACCCGTTATTTTGCTGCTACGACCCCGGCTGGCAGAGGGCGATGAGCAGGTTCTGATCGCCGACTTTTCGCATTCTGCATTAGTGACCTAACAGCCTGTCCGGCCCTTGGTAACTCGACGAGGACTAAGCCGGTATAATTTTCTGTTACGTCAATGCCATGTTTGGCATGTGATGGACTTTTATGGAGACCTCACTGCGGTCTCCAACCCTCCTCCTTTGTCAACCGGGTGTGGGATCTGCAACGGCGGAGTTTTTAGTCAGGAAATATATAGCGTAAATTCACATATTTTTCACCGTTGGATTTGGAAGACTTGGAAAATTCGACTCGGTAATATTTTCCTCGATTTTGAATAGATATCTTTATTTCTCTGAACAGTAGTTAAGAGTATACTTATACGCAGTCATGCGAAATATATCATTTCACTTTATCAGAACTGAAACAAATGTTCAAGTGGGAACCACGAGAAACGTCAGCCCGCTTATACATTCTCAACCCCGTGTTTTTTAGTATTGCCCATCAGTAATATTTTTTTGGTCCTCGGTTCCCAGTCATAGAATCCAGGGTACCATTGCAACCGGACAATCCAGTCATTTGCTTATCGATGGGATTCGATCGTGCCTCCGTCTTTAAATCGCCGATGCGGATAGTCGAGACTGGAGAAAATTTCGTCGAGCTTCTTGCACCAGGTAATTTTTGACCTTCTCCCATACCTATTTGCATCGTTGCCAAATGTCATCTATTTTTGGGAGCTTTGCGTGTTAATTAAGTCTGCTGCTTTTCGTCATGACTGCCGCTATCTAACTAATGGCGATGCTTGTCTTTACCGCTTGTAGTCAGCCTGAATTTGCAATTTTCTACTTAAGATTTTGTGTTTTAGGAAGATTCGAAACGCTAACCACAGACATGGTCATTTAGTAGTGCAGTTTAGTTTTTTTGCTGTTGAATGGCCTCATCAAGATTAAGGTAAACTTTTAAAACTACTTCCACATATGAAATAAATGTTTCTGTTAGCTTAATAGGATTATTCAGTAATTCTATACAAATATTCCACATGTGAAATAAATATTTTGAATCATTTTTACTTAATCTATAGGCAAAATCCGGCCACCGTCTTCGACGTTTTCGTTGAAGTGGCGCCTCCGGACGACGACGAAAAAGCGTTTATACTTTGGAAGTATCCGGAGGACTTTGAGGACGAGGTATTGTAATTCGATATGATATTAAGGAAGCCTCTTAAACTCCTTATGCAACTTAAGTTAGCAAGATCTGAAGACTGTTCACAGTTATGTTCATCTTTGAAAATCTCTTGCGCGACTAATTTTCATAGGCTTTGTCTTGCTCAGTCTGAAATGGAGCCTGATTGAAATGACGAAGTCCAGAGCACCAAAGTCTGTTTACTGCTGACTCTTGTTTATTCAAATTCCAGCCCTAAGGATGTAAATAAGAGGATAACTTGGTGCAGTAGTTGATAACAGATGACCATTTGAAATTGCTGCATAGCTGTAGATAATCAAAGTTCTTCATAAATAAGATTAATATATAGTTGTCTTCACTATGTCTACTTGTTTACGGCACTGAGGTTGAAGTTAGCTAGGCATATTAGCCAGGGTTCAGTCTTAATTCCTCTGCTAATCACTTGTCAGAACGAAGGAGTATATACCAACCAGAGCTTCTGGGTCGGTAGAGCGTCTGACTCACAACTGAGGGGTTTCGGACTCGAGTCCCCGTCTTCTCACTCGTTTTCTTCCTTTCGAGGTTGATAAATGAGTATAACTCTTGGGACAGAAAATGAAGTCTATGCACTATGCTTGCCACATCACTGCTGTTGACTCTGCCTTTAAAATAAAACACTCCTGGCTGATGGCATGGAAATGGAGATCATGAAAATAAGGACGCCATAAATGACAATATAAGGAAGGTCGGCATTCAGACTTTATACAGACTTTTTTTTCTTTCCTCTGTATGCCAACTAACTATTGCTAATCACGTGATAAAATCACTGAATTTCAAAATTTTTGAGAAAGAAATGAAAAAGAATATTCCTGTTGAATAACTTAGCATTATAACTTTTAATTTATTTACTTTTCCATTTATACTTTCACGAAATTTAGTAAACCCCCATGCTTAAAAAGTAGTAAAAATCCATAGCAGTTTTCTGTCATCATTTAAATTATTTTTCTTTTCAGCACATGCTTCGAAGTATAACTGAATTTGCGTTTCCCTGCGAGTTTCAAAGGTAACCTCATCCCATCTGTTATCAGGCTCGTCTGTAATGTACGTCGTACGTTTTTCTTTTCAGTTCCGTTGCCGTCCAGTTGTTCACGTTTGTTCTTACCGATCTCGATAGCCGGTACACATTTGGCTTTTGTCGTCATGCGCCCCGCTCCCACACCTGTCTTTGTATTTTGAGGTAATATTCATGTAATAGTTTTAGTCAATATTAATCTAGTTTAATTTTTCGGCCACATCCCGTCTTGAATATCGAAGCCTTGAGATAACGAACTAACTTAT